GTGACACTTGCTGCCTTTTTATCGCCAGCGGAATAAAAGCAAAAACACCGTAAAGCCCGTAAGGCTAATCCCGCAAATCTCCGTACTGGGGCACCTGTTGGATTTGAATAGAATAGACTGGCCAACATCGAAGGGGTATCTCGTTCCCATTTCCCATTTCTCATTTCCCACTCCAAACCCCAGACCCCCCCAGCTGCGAGTCACGTGAAGCAGCCGCATTGCGCATACGCCATGTTAGCCCTGTTTGCTTTGCTTTGGCGTGCATTGAACCGACTTCCGCGAGGGGCTTACACCTATGCCACCTATGCCACCTATGCCACTGATGGTCCATCACATCACTTTACTTTTAATAGTGCCCGGCGGCTAATTTGTTTTATCATTTCCAGCACAGCATTCCGATTGCAATGTCAATTGTTTGGGCCCGACATCTGTTGGCGCTGTTTGTTGTTTCCGCTTTTGTTTCTCTGCTTCACTTTTTGTTTATCACTCCGAAATTGATTTGTTAATTTGCCCGGCTTGTTGGCAAGCCATTAGCACGACACTTTGCGCCCATAAATTGATTGGCCCAGCGGTTAGCACCTGTCAATTATCTAAAATACAATGGCCATAATCTGTTTTGTACGCTCCCGTGCACCCGAGTGGGTGTTTCGCCCATCATGATTATTAGACGCCCGCGGGCAATGATATCTGCCGAATATGCCGATGATTTGCGTTTTGTCTGCCAGAACGAATCGTTTTGAACAAAGCCGCAAACTAGTCACACGACCTGGCCACTTGGACGATTTGAATATGCTTTACATTTAAACAGGGGCCGTTGGGGTAACTCCACGCCACTTTTTTTTTGAAATTCTCAGAAATCAGTTGTCATGGGAATTTGTGAATGAATTTGTGTGGAATGAACTTCTTTCCTGCTTATGTAGCTATTGGTTTATTTAAATGTAGCAAGTTCGCGACTTCAGTTCTTATGAAATGACGATCTTGAGTATATTAGTTAGTTAGTTTGTCCATTCATTTTACTTGCTTGAGGTTATGCACATATATCTCTTATCAAAATGCATGTGCGATTCTGCAAATATTCTGTAGTGTTCCTGGCAAATACTATTGCTTTATTGACATTGTTCGAACTTCGACGATGCCCATATTGATTTCCAATTCAGCAGCTTTCCCCAAGGCATCTGACTACCCCTGATGAGTGTGTGTTTCGGATAAAAATATACGACTGCCAGGTGCTTGTTTTCTCCTGCTCGGTCATGTGACCAAATGAATTCAGTTTTGATGCCACTGCAGTGATGCCGTGATAAGAAACAGGCTGCGGATCAAAAAGCGGTTCTGATCACGTGAGCAGATGGAGCCAACTCGTTGTGGCGGGAATCCCTGGAGGCGAGCATTGTCCCCCGATCATTGGCCGCCAGTGAAGCGGGTCCGTGACACGGTTTTCGCCAGCTTCCGTCGCTTGAGACTCTTCAGAAGCTGCCAGGCTGACCTCAGACTGCATCGTAAATTCAGGCTGGTCATGAATTTGGATACCCGATCGACGGGTTCGAGTCACGTGAAGCCTTACATCGGGTACTTTACACGCCTCAATGGAATGCGCTGCACAGAGGGAGGGCCCCCTCCACCCGCCCCCTGTGGGGTGTTCAGGGGGCGGGGCCGGTGGTGGGAGGCCGCTGATCGCTTTGCGTAATGCTGGGGATCTTATACAATTAACTGAATGCACAATTAACAGTTTTATTTGAGCCGTAATTGTCATTCATTGCAATTGTTTGAGCTTAACTTCAACTTTGTTTACCCGCCCGCCAATGCAGTTTCAGATACAAAGATAGCGATGCAGAGAGAAAAACAGTTGGGACAGTTTTATTTAAATAAAGGTTCTTGGTTGCCATAACCGACTTGCTTATCGAATTAGTAGAAAAGAAAAAGCACCATAGCCTTACACTGTTGCGTGCGCATATATTTGAATTTGAGCAGTCCGTTTTTCTCGGTGTACGAATACAGTTAGTCTACGTGTTGTCCATGTTTGATTGTGAACCACAAGCAGTGCATACAAATGGACAAGCCTTTCCGGCATGTGACCCCAAGGAGAGATGATTTCCCTTATCAAAATACCCGCACACCTTGAGATTTCGTTGGCCAGATAACTGTCGAAATCTGGCCACGCTCAAGGGCCGCCAAAATACATTTATATATTTAAATAATCCCACCTAAGTAGGCCGCCCACGCGCACAGAAGATTTACGCGGTCCAAAGACTCAAGAAGATGCCTCGAGCTTCCAAATCTAGTTGCTTTCTGAAATGACAGAGGAGAAAACAAGGGGAAGACAGCTCGACGATGAACACACAATTATCCGCACGCCAGCTGAATTAGAGGCAAATTAAGTATACTCAAAATTATAATTGAATTGCTGGCGGGGTCCAGCCATGTACATTTAATTGTTGTCTAATGTCTGTGCCCACCACCCCCCTTGGGGGTTCACGCTGCGTATGAGTAATGCAAATTGACCGCACAAGTGTTACATATCCAACTGCGACACATAATCGCCATCCAATCTCCTAAACAAGTCAGCGACCTATAAATATTCATACGAATGCCGCGAAAGTATCTCAGCAATGTCGATTGGCCATAGATCGATTGTTACGGCGATCGATATACAATTGTGGTCAAAATACCTCAATACCTCACAAATATCCGTGCCATCAACTATAGTCACTTATGGGTCAGCTGTCTTTGGTGCTTAGACTGGACTAATATATAATCATTAGGTCCTCAATTTGACAGATAATATAGACCTCTCAGTCAGTTCATTACAATTCATCTCTTCCTAATAGCCCATTTTCGAATTAATTTATTGTTAATAACCGAAGTCAAACAGCTCGTTACCTAATTTTTAATCATCTCGGCAATGACGAAGCAAAATATTGTGTGAAATAGATCAATAGCGAAATAGCGAAAACTATGGGACATGCTTTTAATCTCAAAATAAATAAAGCATATAGTCGTGCATAAGTGGTACTACTATTTTTCCCCGCACTGTTTAATGAGCAATAAAAGGAGAACGGAAAAAAGAGAAGGTAAAGAAGGTTTTCCCCGTGGAAACCCCAGTAGAAGGGCATTCCATCTTCGGCCTTCGTGGCAAAGACACTTGATTTTCATCAATCCGCTTGGATCGTAACTTATTCGTATTTGATTCTGCGCCATCGATCATTCGCCAGACGCGTGTTTGCCATTTGGGGAAGACTGTGCTTGGAAGTGACTGGTGGTAAGGTGATTAATAGCCGGCCAGGCCTAAAGCCTCAATTTTGGAGGGCTTCCTGACTGACCCAGACCCAGACCCAGACCCAGACACAAAAAGCAGGTGGCATGCAGCCAGTGCGTGTAGTAGAGGAAAATCCCGATAAAAATCCCCATTGAACCATTGAAATACCCAAGTTTCGGATTCTGCAGAAAAGCTCTTTGCATGCAAATGGTGCCGAAACCAGAAGAGGCAGGCTTGTGAAACCAGTCCGGACACAAAGCTCTTTTAAGGGGTTTTCAACTATCCACATTGCATTGGTAATTACCAGGTGATTTACTCGATCGCAGCTGATGGACAGATTGACGGGCTAACCGGTTCGATGGGATGCCAAAAAAGCCAACATCTCAACTACTCAGGGCGGAGTGGAGCTCTCGAGTCCCGCCGGATCCGGGCCATTATCTCGGCCGTATACTTGATTTACGGAGCGCACTCTTCAAACTGATTTATATGCGCCGTGTTTCAACGGCTGATTGATTTCCCGTGTCGCCGAACGATAGACGTCAGTAGCGCACGATTGTGGGGGCCATAAAGATGTTGGGGCCTTTAATGTGGGCCACCTTTTGGGGGAAATTATAAAGGAATTACAGTCGCCTCGACTATAACTCATTCACGGCGATTGCAGCATTACCATTTTCCATTAATATTCATTCGATTTATTTACTCAACTTGCAAATCCCGTGGGAAGAACTGAGCGGAGCAAAAGCCTTTTAATCTTGGCCTCCATCGGCTAACCAGAAATACAGGGTGTGAAAATCCGATCAATTAGCATGCAACAAAACACATTTCTTGATTTCCATGTTGCATTTGACTGTGATTCCCATGCTCGGTGTCAGCACGTGCGGAAAATTCACAGCAAAAATTGTTGATTTTCCGAACTTGGAGGGCAGGCGACTGGGAAATACCCTCCACTTGTAAATTATGTACTACTACACAAATGGAAAATAAATATTGAGATTTTCAGAGAAAAACAGGGCTGTGATTGATTAACAAAAAATTATTTTCAATATCCTCCATCCAAGGATTACCTCCAACTATATACATAGAGAAGCCCAGAAGCCCAATGATAGTGTACGTAATAAGATTGGGTGTAGATCACTGGTGGCAAGTTTCCTAATTAAATTACATTTGAGTACGAAAATAATGATTGCAATCACAATTAACAAGGCAAGAACGTTACAGATAAAAGCTGCACGTGGTTGAATTCCTATAATTAAACGTGTTCCCACAAAATTAAGAAACACATCAGAATATTCCTACGATGCATGTTCGTGACGAGTGAGTACATATATTAGCTTGATGCCAGTTTTTCCATATATTATGTGCACCTCAGCGATCAATAGTTGGGGCAACAGTGGTATCCGCCCACCAGGCATTGTCTTGCCCGTAGAAACTGGGCCTGTCCCATGTTCCTCCCACTCGGTGGCCAACCGATGGGCTGCGTCATTTCCATTTCTTTGGGCTGCCACACGACTTGGCCGCGAAGATGCAAAGCCCAGATCCGAGCTGGTGATCGCTGGAGACGGAGAGCCGGTTTCGATCGAGAGCGGGAGCTGGGTATGGATATGGAGATGGAGATGGTGACAGAGACGGAGACGGAGAATTGGCCGCGAAGATTAGTGGGGCCTGGAGAAGAGAGAGAGGTGCTGATAGCATAACGAAAGCCGGCGGATAGTCTCGAATGCGCTGCCAGCGATTCGCGAGCGATGCCTATTTACTATATAATCGGGTCCCAGCAGGCGGGCGGTTGTTAGTGCTGCTCTTTCCGCGGCTCCACATCATTCCCGCAGTGGATGGCCCCGCGATCGGTTCGTTTTGCTCCGGTCTTTGGTATCAGTTGAGATCAGGGTATCGATTTCCCGGAGAGTGTTCGAGTGAGAGTGCCATGAAGCCCTAGAAAATAAGGAAGCGAAGTCCCACGAGCAAGCACAAATCCCACAAGTTCAGTATACGGAAGTACAGAAATAATTCGCGCAAGATGAGCCAAAGAGCAGACAGCGGCCACACGAACAGTGGCTTCAATGGCGGATCCGAGGTGTCCTTGGACATACCCACCAACACCCTGTACCACACCTCGCGGGACTGCATTGTGCAGGAGGAGCAGGGTCCCAAGGAGAGCTGCCTGGAGGGCACTCAGGGCTGTTGCTCAAGTCTCTGGTCCAACATCTTCAGGAAGAAGACGCTGTACAAGCGATTCCCCATCCTGGTGTGGCTGCCCCAGTACAAAAAGGATTATATTTTCGGTGATATAGTGGCGGGCATTTCGGTGGCCCTGACGGTGATTCCCCAGGCCTTGGCCTACGCGGGAATAGCTGGATTGGATCTGCAGTACGGCCTGTACGCCTGCTTCCTGGGCTGCTTTATATACATATTTATTGGGTCCAGTAAGGATGTGCCCATAGGACCTACGGCCATATCCGCGCTGCTGTCCTTTCAAATCGCTGGAGGCAGTTGGCAGATGGCCACCTTGCTCACCTTCCTCACAGGACTCATTGAGATCCTGATGGGTGCTTTCCGGCTGGGATTCCTCATCGATTTCGTTTCTGGTCCTGTGGGGGCAGGATTCACGAGTGCTGTATCCCTGATCATCTTCAGCTCCCAGATGAAGGACTTCTTGGGCATCAAGACCAGCGGCAACACCTTCCTGCAAGTGTGGATTAGCATTGTGAACGATATACACAACATCAGCTGGCCGGACTTCATCTTGGGAATCGTCTGCATTACTCTGCTCCTCAGCTTGAGAGCCCTGGCCAGTTGTACCTTGGGCCCCAAGGAGGGAAAAACCACCGCCCAAAAGCTACTGACTGGCCTTTTCTGGACCATTGGAACTGCCCGAAATGCCCTGCTGGTCTGTGGAACTGCTGGCCTGGGATACTGGCTCTTTGTCAACGGAAAGGAGAATCTCGTGAAGACAGTTGGTTTTGTGCCCAAGGGATTGCCCTCCTTCCAGCCACCACCCTTCCACATGGATGCCGTCATCAACGAAACCACAGGAGAGGTCCTTCAGGAGGCGCAGAGCTTCTGGGACATGGTCAGCACCCTGGGATCTGGTCTCATTGTGGTTCCTTTGATTGCTCTTCTGGAAACTATGGCCGTTGTTCAGGCTTTCGGTGAGTTATCCATTTGAGGTTGATCTCGTTCTTCTCCAACAAGTTCAAGAATCTTAAAAATTCGAGTAGGAAATGAATCACCAGTAATTGGTTTTCACTAAAAGCTAATTTCAAATCGGATTGACGAAAGCAACGAGTTTTTGGCCTGTAGTGGAATGTGCTTAAAATGGCTTTTTAATTGATTTTGAAATGTGTGTCCTCCTTTAGGATAAGATTATATTTAATAGATTGTAACGACAGTCACACTTTTACACTTAAAATGTATCACAACTGATACAATAATTTAGATTGTGATCTATACGGCCAACTGGACGTTTCGTCATTCCAGCCTGAGTCATGCCCTCAGTTGCCTTATTCCTTGGGGAATTGTATTTTATTCGACTGGCATACAGTATAATATTCCCCGTGTGCTCTTTTCCTTTAGCCGATGGCAAGCCCACAGATGCCACGCAGGAACTGATAGCCTCCGGAGTGTGCAACGTGGCCAACTCGTTTGTCCAGGGTCTGCGGAGCAATGGCGGCATCGCCAGGGGCGCCATCCTCAATGCCAGCGGAGTGAGGACCCAGCTGTCCAACCTGTACACCAGTGTGATCGTGATCATCGCCCTGCTCTACCTCACGCCCTGCTTTTACTACATTCCCAAGGCGGCGCTGGCCTCCATTATTATTGCGGCGGTTATTTTCATGGTCCAGTACCGAGTGATCAAGCCCATGTGGCACAGCAAAAGTGAGTAGATTATTTCAGTAGATTATTGCAGTGGGTTACCTTACATATTTGACTGTCCTGCCACAGAAACCGATCTCATTCCCGGCCTGGGCGCCTTCTTTGCCTGCCTGGTTCTGCCCCTGCAGCTGGGCATCCTCGTGGGCATCGGCATCAATGTGCTCTTCATCCTCTACCAGGCAGCCAGGCCAAAGCTGAGCATCGAAACGCTGGCGGTGAGTCATCCCATCCGCAGTATCTCATTCTATGTCTAGAATAGCTTCAGTGGCCAAAAGTATGCTACAGAGTCTTAGCATTTGGGCTGCTGGTAGAAGTTACTTCTCTTAGTCATGCTAAGACATTCATAATCCTCCTTCGCCTTATAGACAACCACTGGTCTGAAATACCTGATGCTCACCCCCGATCGCTGCCTGATCTTCCCCTCGATGGAGTTTGTGCGCAAGGTGATCAACAAGCAGGGTCAGAAGTCCACGCTGCCGGTGGTCATCGATTGCACCCACATCTATGGAGCGGACTTCACGGCCGCCAAGGTGATATCCACCATGGTGATGGACTTCAAGCAGCGGGAGCAGCCCCTGTTCTTCTACAACCTGCAGCCGCGAGTGGCGCAGGTCTTCGAGGGACTGAACAAGGATCTGGTGGTCCTCTACGACATCAGCACCCTGCACGCCAAGCTGGCTGAGAAGTCGCCCCCGATCTGAGGGATCCACAGAAGTCCAAGGGGCATCAACGCAGCAACCTCGTCATGCGATAGTCTTAGCCTAAGTCTAGTTGGTGGCTCAGTCTCTGTCCTAGACCTAGTACTAGCTTAGTCTTGCCGCCGAGGCCAGCGGCTAAATCTAGATGTGGGCTGCCCACGCGCATCGCCTTAGTTGAAGGCACCACTACCATTCCACGGCTGGCCCAGCTCACCTTAATTAGCATTTAAGATGTGGCAATCTTCGCAGATTTTTGCAAAATATTATTTATTTGGCCTCTAGCGAAACGCTGTGAATTCCAGAGCCAGGGCTCATCCCACCCGCGATTTTGCCGCTGAACATAGTATTATTTTCGGGTAGAGAACGACGAGTTTTGGCATAAGTACTTAAATAAATCAGGTTAAGGTAAAATAGTTAAGTCGCGTTATGAGTTTCATTTGTATGGTCAAGAAAGTGGAATGAAAACACTCCCATGATGTATGATATGTTGTTACCAACTCCTCGCTTTATAGTGGACGATTATTAAAGATTTATGGCTATTTGAATCCCTGATTGCCTACTCAGATAGATTAAATATCTAATCAATATCAAGATTTCTGGCTGCCTTTAATCTTAAGACATGCTGTGATTTAATTTGGCGCTTCGCGTGGGCAGTAAATTTTTATAACCGCTACTCGTGGAGTAGAAGGGTATACTAGATTCTTTGAAAAGTATGTAACATGCAGAAGGAAGCGTTTTCGAGCGTTCTAACTTTTTTGATGTTATGATGTTGTAGAAATTCAAAAACAATAAGAAATGTCCCAGGTCTGAAGTTCTAAACTCCATAACTCAACTTATCTTAATCGGTTTTTCAAGTGGCATACCTCTAAATGTTTCTAGTGCAATTCTCTAAACATCTGCATTCAAATTTAGAATTTTTTTTTTTTGATATTTTTTTCTAATTTTTCTGATGTTATGATGTAGAAATTCAAGAATGACCCAAGACTGAAGTTCTAAAGTCCATAACTCAACCAATCTTAATCGGAATTTGAAGTGGCATATCTCTAAATGTTTCTGGATCAATTCTCTAAAAAACTGCATTCAAATTTAGAATTTTATTTTTTTTGAAATTTTTTGTAATTTTTCTGATGTTATGATGTTGTAGAAATTCAAGAATGACCCAAGACTGAAGTTCTAAAGTCCATAACTCAACCAATCTTAATCGGATTTTGAAGTGGCATACCTCTAAATGTTACTGGAGCAATTCTCTAAAAAACTGCATTCAAATTTAGAATTTTATTTTTTTTTTAATTTTTTGTAATTTTTCTGATGTTATGATGTTGTAGAAATTCAAAAATGTCCCAAGACTGAAGTTCTAAAGTCCATAACTCAACTTTTCTTAATCGGATTTTGAAGTGGCATACCTCTAAATGTTTCCGGAGCTATTCTCTAAAAAACTGCATTCAAATTTAGAATTTTATTTTTTTTTTAATTTTTTGTAATTTTTCTGATGTTGTGATGTTGTAGAAATTCAAAAGTGTCCCAAGACTGAAGTTCTAAAGTCCATAACTCAACTTATCTTAATCGGATTTTGAAGTGGCATACCTCTAAATGTTTCTGGAGCAATTCTCTAAAAAACTGCATTCAAATTTAGAATTTTATTTTTTTTTTAATTTTTTGTAATTTTTCTGATGTTGTGATGTTGTAGAAATTCAAAAGTGTCCCAAGACTGAAGTTCTAAAGTCCATAACTCAACTTATCTTAATCGGATTTTGAAGTGGCATACCTCTAAATGTTTCTGGAGCAATTCTCTAAAAAACTGCATTCAAATTTAGAATTTTTTTTTTTTTTAATTTTTTGTAATTTTTCTGATGTTGTAGCAATTCAAAAGTGTCCCAAGACTGAAGTTCTAAAGTCCATAACTCAACTTATTTTAATCGGATTTTGAAGTGGCATACCTCTAAATGTTTCTGGAGCAATTCTCTAAAAAACTGCATTCAAATTTAGAATTTTATTTTTTTTTTAATTTTTTGTAATTTTTCTGATGTTATGATGTTGTAGAAATTCAAAAGTGTCCCGAGACTGAAGTTCTAAAGTCCATAACTCAACTTTTCTTAATCGGATTTTGAAGTGGCATACCTCTAAATGTTTCTGGAGCAATTCTCTAAAAAACTGCATTCAAATTTAGAATTTTATTTTTTTTTAAATTTTTTGTAATTTTTCTGATGTTATGATGTTGTAGAAATTCAAAAGTGTCCCAAGACTGAAGTTCCAAAGTCCATAACTCAACTTATCTTAATCGGATTTTGAAGTGGCATACCTCTAAATGTTTCTGGAGCAATTCTCTAAAAAACTGCATTCAAATTTAGAATTTTATTTTTTTGAAATTTTTTGTAATTTTTCTGATGTTATGATGTAGAAATTCAAAAGTGTCCCAAGACTGAAGTTCTAAAGTCCATAACTCAACTTATCTTAATCGGATTTTGAAGTGGCATACCTCTAAATGTTTCTGGAGCAATTCTCTAAAAAACTGCATTCAAATTTAGAATTTTATTTTTTTTGAAATTTTTTGTAATTTTTCTGATGTAGAAATTCAAAAGTGTCCCAAGACTAAAGTTCTAAAGTCCATAACTCAACTTTTCTTAATCGGATTTTGAAGTGGCATACCTCTAAATGTTTCTGGAGCAATTCTCTAAAAAACTGCATTCAAATTTAGAATTTTATTTTTTTTTAAATTTTTTGTAATTTTTCTGATGTTATGATGTTGTAGAAATTCAAAAGTGTCCCAAGACTGAAGTTCTAAAGTCCATAACTCAACTTATCTTAATCGGATTTTGAAGTGGCATACCTCTAAATGTTTCTAGAGCAATTCTCTAAAAAACTGCATTCAAATTTAGAATTTTATTTTTTTTTTAATTTTTTGTAATTCTTCTGATGTTATGATGTTGTAGAAATTCAAAGGTGTCCCAAGACTGAAGTTCTAAAGTCCATAACTCAACTTATCTTATTCGGATTTTGAAGTGGCATACCTCTAAATGTTTCTGGAGCAATTCTCTAAAAAACTGCATTCAAATTTAGAATTTTATTTTTTTTTTAATTTTTTGTAATTTTTCTGATGTTATGATGTTGTAGAAATTCAAAAGTGTCCCAAGACTGAAGTTCTAAAGTCCATAACTCAACTTATCTTAATCGGATTTTGAAGTGGCATACCTCTAAATGTTTCTGGAGCAATTATCTATAAATCTGCATTCAAATTTGAAAATTTATTTTTTCGACATTTTTTTTGTAATTTTTTGATGTTGTAGAAATTCGAAAATGTCCCAAGACTGAAGTTCTAAAGTCCATAACTCAACTTATCTTAATCGGATTTTGAAGTGGCATACCTCTAAATGTTTCTGGAGCAATTCTCTAAAAAACTGCATTCAAATTTAGAATTTTATTTTTTTTTTAATTTTTTGTAATTTTTCTGATGTTATGATGTTGTAGAAATTCAAAAGTGTCCCAAGACTGAAGTTCTAAAGTCCATAACTCAACTTATCTTAATCGGATTTTGAAGTGGCATACCTCTAAATGTTTGTGGCGCAATTCTCTAAAATCCTGCATTTAAATTTAGAAATTCAATTTATTTTTAATTTTTTGTATTTTATTGATGTTATGATGCTGTAGAAATTCAAAAATGTCCCAAGACTGAAGTTCTAAAGTCCATAACTCAACTTATCTTATTCGGATTTTGAAGTGGCATACCTCTAAATGTTTCTGGAGCAATTCTCTAAAAAACTGCATTCAAATTTAGAATTTTATTTTTTTTATTTTTTTTTTTCAATTCAAAAAAACTCCATAACTCAACTTATTTTAATCGGATTTTGAAGTCGTAGCCCAGACTTTTAAAAAAGTTTTAATTTATTTTTTATTTTATTACTTTTTCCCAATTATTACCGATATTCCTGAAAAGGTTGAAGTTTCTCGCACTTCTTTGCACTTCCACTAGCTGAGTAACGGGTATCTGATCGTCGGGGATCTCGACTATAGCATTCTATCTTGTATTAGCTCGAAGCATGAATAACCAAGGAATCGCATTCAAGATAGGATTGATGGATTCGTGTGGCAACTATTTTTTAGGTTTAGAAGTAAAGATTAAAATTATTTGCAAAATTGATTCAAATATTTAGTCCGTTCAAGAACCCTTTCGTTTGACTGCGAAATCATGTTTCCATCCCTAACTTATCAAATATTTCCCAGCACTGTGTAAAAACTGTTGTCTCATCACCCGCTTCAGTTCGTTCAAAAAATAAACAAAATTATATCAGCAGCTCGGGAATCGTGAGCGCGATACAAGGAAAGAAATAATATTATTTTTATTTTGCATTTTAGCAGGGCAAGTAACTAATCTACTAATCTACTTCAATATTTCGCGAATCATTGTATTCATTTTACCAGATGAACATCGATGTGGGAATCCCAGAGGGCGGAGAAGGTCCCGGCTTCCATTCCTATTTTACTCAGAAAATATCCGAGCTGCAGTTCACCGTGAATGAGCGCCATAAGAACTTACTGCGATTGCAGGCTCAGAGAAATGAACTCAACTCCAAAGGTAAGGTCCTGAAAATGAATATGTATCCTTTTTAAGATCCACCGTAGTTCGCTTGCTGCGGGAGGAGCTGCAGTTGCTCCAGGAGCAGGGCAGCTATATTGCTGAGGTTGTGAAGCCCATGGACAAGAATAAGGTCCTGGTGAAGGTTCATCCGGAGGGCAAGTACGTGGTCGATGTGGACAAGGCCATCAATATCAAGGATGTGACTCCCAACAGCAGAGTGGCCCTGCGAAACGAGAGCTATACTCTGCACAAAATACTGCCCAACAAGGTGGACCCATTAGTCTCCCTAATGTTGGTGGAAAAGGTTCCTGACTCCACCTACGAAATGGTGGGTGGCTTGGACAAGCAGATCCAGGAGATCAAGGAGGTGATTGAGCTGCCTGTAAAGCATCCGGAATTATTTGATGCCCTGGGCATTGCCCAGCCGAAGGGAGTGCTCCTCTACGGACCTCCGGGAACTGGGAAAACCCTCCTAGCCCGAGCTGTAGCCCATCACACGGAGTGCACTTTCATACGGGTTTCAGGATCGGAACTGGTGCAGAAGTTCATCGGCGAGGGTTCCAGAATGGTGAGGGAGCTTTTTGTGATGGCCAGGGAACACGCTCCTTCCATCATTTTCATGGACGAAATCGACTCGATTGGTTCCGCTCGAATGGAAACCGGAACCGGTGATTCAGAGGTCCAGCGAACCATGCTGGAGCTCCTGAACCAGCTGGACGGCTTCGAGGCCACCAAAAATATCAAGGTGATCATGGCCACCAATCGCATCGATGTCTTGGACCAGGCTTTACTGCGCCCCGGTCGCATTGATCGCAAGATCGAGTTTCCGCCACCGAACGAGGAGGCCAGATTAGATATCCTGAAGATACATTCTCGCAAGATGAACCTCACCAGAGGCATCAATCTTCGCAAGATTGCGGAACAAATGCCCGGGGCTTCTGGCGCTGAAGTTAAGGGTGTTTGCACCGAGGCTGGAATGTATGCCTTGAGGGAAAGACGGGTCCATGTCACCCAGGAGGACTTTGAAATGGCCGTGTCCAAAGTCATGATGAAGGACTCCGAGAAGAACATGTCCATCAAAAAGTTCTGGAAATAGCTTCTAATTTTAAAGCCTATTAAAGCTTCACTATCAGACTGCACATAACCCTGTATATAAATATTACAAATTTAATATATTCTCGTAAGAAAAAGAGCAGAGCCCAGAGCTCGAGGGAAACCACTAGTTTAATGCTTAGGTATAAGGTTTAGGTATAACTTAGCTAACTTTATTTGGGCGTTGTAAGACTAACTCCTAGCGAGTGAAAGCGTGCTGGCCATGCTCACGCATTCACTAGTTCCGTTCCCGGACTCGACGTGGTCGAGGGAGTCCACGGACCTCGAAAGATCCGGCTCGTCGGGCCGAAGTTCCTGGTTGAGGGCATGGGTGTTGTAGCAAAGCACCAGCCGTGTGTTTAGTCCCTCGAACACACTCACTACACTGGGCTTCAAGTTGAAGAATATGATCTTTTGCTGACGCCGCCGGAAGTCGTCCACAATGGAGGATATTACTTTGGCGGCTGTGAAATCCGCAGCATAGATATAGGTGCAGTCGATGACCACGGGCAGAGCGGATTTGCTGCCCAACTTGAGCACCATATTCCGAACAAACTCCACTGAAGGAAAGATCAGGCATCTGTCGGGGGTGATCTTCACGAACCTGACACCTTGTTGGGTCTCCAGCTGCTCCAGGGTGACCTTTGGCCTGGCTGCATAGTACAGGATAAAGAGCAGATTCACACCAATGGCCACCATAATGCCTATTTCCAGGGGCAGTACCAAACAGGTGACGAAGGCCAGGATTCCGGGCACTAGATCGGAACCTGCAAAGAGGGTTACTTGGGAATGCATACAACAGCTAAGGAAGTCGCAACTCACGTTTGCTGCGCCACATGGGCGTTACGACCTGGTACTGAACCTGGAAGATCACTGCCGATATGATAATCGCTGCCAGCACCGCCTTGGGAATGAAGGCGAAGTATTCGGTGAGGAAGTTGAGGGCGAGCACTACAATAACGCCGATGTACAGGTTGGACATATTGGTGCGACAGCCACTGGCATTATTCACCGCGGATCGGGCCAATCCTCCATTGCATCGGTATCCGGAGAACATGGAGGTGGCAATGTTGCCGACTCCACAGGCGATCATTTCCTGGGTGATGTCTATCTGCTTTCCCTTGGCGAAGGCCTTGCAAACCGACATGGTTTCCAGTAGAGCCATCAGTGGAACGATCACTAGTCCATATCCCAAGCTCTGTACCATTTGAGGGAAACTCTGCCCCTCAACAGCAGGGATCCCAGCTGTTTCGTTGCCGGGCTGCGGTTCGATGGAAAACGGAGGAAGCGAGGGCGTGGGCATGCCCTTGGGTATATTTCCAGTTAGTCTGAAAGGATTCTCTCCATTGGCGTCCAGGTACATGGTAACCGCGGTAAACAGAATAACCACAGAGGCATTCCTCGAGGTGGAAAAGAACTTGATCACCGTGTTCACAGCCCGCTGGAATCCGTTCCTCCTTGATTCGTCCTTCGGACCGATGGTGAACTTGCCGAAGCTCCTCATGGCCAGGAGCAGGATAACACATCCGAAGCCCAAGCAGGTATCGGCTACGCGCACGTTTTCGATGTCCCGGAACATGCTTATCCACGTGGCCAAAAAGGATCCACCATCACTCTTGACACCCAGCATCGATCGCATCTGGGACGTCGACACAATCAAGGCCACGGCACTCGTAAATCCCGCGCTCACCGGTCCAGAAACGAACTCCACCAAGCACCCGAGCTTGAAGATGGCCATCAGGATCTCTATAATGCCGGTCAGGAAGGTCAGGAGTACGGACCTCTGCCAGGATCCTTGGGCGAACTGGAAGGTCATGAGTGAGGCCACCGCCGTGCTGCCAATCGTGCTGTCCTTGCACGTTCCCAAAAGGACATATACGAAGCAGCCCATGAAGGATCCGTACAGGCCATACTGGTGAAGAGAATCTGAGTTACTTCTTGATATAACAGTGGATCGAAGGATCTGCGGGATCAGAGGTATCTTAGGTACAAATTTAACCGCTTTAATTTAAACGTGCTTCTGCTGAGACGCACTAACGATCAATGATCAAGTCGTCAGCTCCACCATTACTCGGTGCTTTTCCGCTGGCCTAAGCTTGCTAATAGGCTGGGAAAACATAATGATATCTTGGTTAACCAATCCAAATGGGTGGGTACACGCCCAAAATGTAAAAATACATTTTAAAAATAAGCAAGGAATCTCCGTTTCGAATATGACTTATTTTGTACGTGGATACTAACCTCCGGTGGAAGACCGACCACCCCAGAATAGGCCAATCCCTGTGGGATTACGGTTAGACCCACGGTGAAACCGGCTATCAAATCGCCGATACAGTCTTGTCGGTTATAGTGAGGCAGCCAGGTGAGAAAGGGCAAACGCTTCAAAAGCGTCTTCTTCCGGAAGATATTCCGGGCATACCGGGAGCAGCAGGACTCGGGATTTGCCGACTCCTTGGAGGCCTCCAACTGCTCCAAGCTCTTACTCTTCGAGGTGCGATGGTCGGTGATTAGAATGAAGTCCGTGGAGGAGCTGTCGAACTGCGCCTCCAGGTTCTGGTTAACCTCCGCCTGTTTGCGGAAGATCACCTCGTTCTCCAGCGTGGACATTCTGGGCGAGATCTGTGCGTGAACTGATGGGTTGGACGACACGCCGCCGGAACCTGATGATCCAAGGGGCAGCGTCACGCGCTCTTATCTCCGGAGGCTGTTTGCCCAGATCTCGACGCGTGTCGTGTGTGGAAGCGGGATACAGGTTGTATCTTTCAGTTGGATCCACGGCGGTCCCATAAAGACGGCAAATCACGCTGGACAATGACCAAAGCCCCCTGCGTCCGCCCCTTTTCAGTGTTTATCTTGGAATTGTCGGTCAGCCAACTGGCACAAGTGTCCCCTATTGATAATTGAAATTTTTCCATTAATCTAGCGCGATCTGTGGAGAATCGATAATCAAGTGTGCACTACTTATTCACGGCTTAAATATTGATCTTCACAGTTGCCCATCTACACCTAGCTGTGTTTTGAGTAGCTTTTTGGGTTGAAAGATCGCCTAGTAATCGAAAGTGATGAGATACAGTGAGCCAGGTGATTTTTTGATGGCTGATATTATCTATTATCTAGTTGCTACTGTATGTCCCTTATCTTATAAAGCTAATAAAGATTATACGGAGGAAAGGAAGTCTGACTATTTTTAGCAAATTTTTAGTTCGTGCTGACGAAAGCAAATTGCGTATAAAAAGTTCAGCGTTCAAACATTTCAACAACCCGCTGTGCTGTTTTATAACAAATAATTATATTACAATAATATTATAACGAATCCCAAATCAATGAGGAAAATAGAACGTTCAATATTGTTTTTTGTATTTTTTTTATTTAATTTTAAAGTTTTTACATGATTTTTAAAAATTGTATTTTAAAAGCATTGCATTATGTCATATAAAGTAAGATATCATTACATTATACAATTGTATGTTTTTCATTTGTTTTGTGTGTTTAACCATAAGTTAAATTTATGTTTAAGCATTTCATAATTCAATAGCAGTAAATTGTTTTCAGAGACCATGGCTATATATGTATCATATATATATAGTGTGTAAGTATTATGTATGTTATGTGTATGTGTTTGTATCATGTGTGCATGTGTGGATATAAACACGACTAAAACTAAAAATTGTGAAATATCGCCCCGTCTAGGGGCTACAAATAATCCAAGGACAGAATGGTAGGTAAATAAAATAAAATAAACGTGTGTATAGCTGCAGCGTAAATGTGAAGATTTGCTTAAGGAAATAACTACTTTAGAGCTGCCAGATAGAAAGTTAATCCTGGATCTGCGTGTGTGACAATGAACATTCGCCTAACTCGTAACAAACAATTGCTTATGCTTAGGTGGTGATCCAAACACAAACTCGAACCGAAAACATCAATCTGAAGAACGCAACAAACACTGAACAAAACAATATAGAACAATTCTCTGCGTGAGAGCAGCAACAAGCGTGTGAGACAACACTACTGTTAGGCTATTGATTTCTTTCTGTGTAAAATGTGTGGACTCCGCAGTTCCAATCGGATGAATCCTACTGCCAGACGCCAACGGTGTAGTTCCTGGTCAGATGTCCCATGCGACGCTGACGTCCAACTGGAAAATATTCGAAAAATCGGATTAGTAGTTTTCCTTTACAAAGGCCATTTTCTCAAAACGAAGCATGACGCACAACAGTTGCATAGTTATAATACAGTGTCCACAAGAAAAACTTGCCCTTGTTGGCTTAAGGCTACGCTAATCACATATTTGCTTATCAGATTTCCTCTTCCGTAAACATTGACCAACCTATTTAGGGTAACTTTTCGTTCCCATCTCGGCTTGGGGCGTTAAAATGCACGCTATTTTGTTGACGGGGTCACCAGGCGATCCAAGGTGCTAACTTATGCTGCTTCACTTGATGTGGTGAAATCAAATAATGGTCTTACATATATCTGCTGATGCTACACTATCATCTAAAAATAATATCGAATCTTCCTCAAGACTCTCCAAGGAGCAGTGAATACTTTACTAAAAATTCTCAAGCAGGTTTGGATGAGAAACTTACAGATTGGATGCTACAAAAAAGATGAATATGGTGAGATTCTTACTATTACATCTACAATTACATCTATTACCCATAAGATACTTTACGTACTTCATGTCGCACATCATTCTTCGGTGTTAGTTCACAGCTGGTTGGTTGGATTGGTTTTCGGGGAGTACAGAGGTCGGTTGGTGGGGGAGTTTGGACATGGACAAAGATCTGTTGTTCTGGTGGCCGTGGTTGCGCATGTTGCTGTTGTTCTGGTTTGCTGGAGGTGTTGTTGGTTTGGTTTTGATATTCTTGCTGGGGCTTGCTTGTTAATTAATTGTAAAAGTAATTGTCAAATCAAGAGTCGGACAGAGAAACACACACACATATAGATGGCTTTCTGCTTGATTGTTGTTCTTGGGTGGTGGCATGTTGTTGTTGGTTGGTTGCTGCTATATATTTCGTATTTGTCTTTTTATTTACGCTGGTTCAGGCGTTTCACACGTACTGCAAACACAGATACAGGACAACGAGCGTGTGTGTGGGCGTGGGCGGGGCGAAAGAGAAGAAACAAATAAATTGGCATTAGTCCAGTGTTGGCAACAAAGAGTGATATAATATAGAGAAGGATTCAACAACGATTTAGTTTTGGGTTAGTTTCGAACTTCAATCAATGTCAAACAGTCAATCAAGTTGCAGGTACAACATTCAAGTTGGCCCAAGTTTTCTGGGCCTTATTTGGGCAGAGGTCCTTAAGACTAACTTTCAATTAGCTGGAAGCTTTTTGGGGTTATTAATCGGGATTAGTTGGTATTTCTTTTCGCTGCAGATCAAACAACAATTACTTAGACAGAGGGGTACCAACTTTTCGTCTGTTTCAGATATTCTGCATCGTTTCTGCATGTTTTTTATTTCTGTAGTTTTTCATGGCTCTGCTTGTCGGTGGTGCTGCTTTATTTTCTGCTGTTAGTTGGTGGTTCTTACTGAATCATAAAGTGTCTCAAATCTACGTTTGTTATGGGTTTCTGCTACTATCGCTTTACTTTGACTCGGATCTGGGGACTCACTTAGATCATACATCGCAGTTTAATTCCTATACGAAGAGAACTTCATTAGAGCCGCCGACTTAGGCGATTTAGACTGCAAACAATTGTCTGAAGTGTGTATAGTGTGCTGATTCGATTACACATAGCATGCAAATGGTTTGGCTGGGGAGGTCATGCAAGACATGCAGAGGATGGTTAAACTTATACAATTAACAAATAATTTACTCAATGGGGCATAACATTAACGGATGCTGGATGCTGGTGTTTATGACTGATCGGTCAAGTGGCTTTACGTAATCAAGAGAAGTCCAGCTCCGAAAAGCCGAAGCTATAATACCCTTGCAGACAAAATTTGTAACATTGAAATTGTTTTTTTCATTCCGAAAACATAATTATGTGTTAGAAGATCAGATCGTTTCAGATAACGGACATAACTTAAATAGTTAAAGCGCTTTCTGATTATTATCTGCAAGAGTATAAAAAGATCTTTGTTTAGCCAAGTGCACAGTGGTGTCTCACTCTAATCGAACAACTGCGAAAGCTAGTTATAGACTATATATATCGAGGCTATATATATAGCAGAATGCTGGTTGCTAGTTGGGGCTTGGTTATTTGGCAATTCTTGCGAGTTAGCAGAAGACGTGAGAAGACAATCCGTGTTCATAGATACCTGTGTTAAGCGTTAGATAAAATTATACACGTGACGCCTAAACGGTTTCTGCTGAGTTTTAGAAGAGGCCTCGACTTAAAACATAACTCGTGGCACATGGGTATTATGCTAAATCCATGGATCACGAGTCTGCTCGATCTGCGATCTTTATCGATAAGTGTGGCATATGTATTTAGTTTGATATTTCGCTTCGTTTCTTTGGTTTCAGTTTGCTTTGCTTAGTTAAAGTCTCTAGAGTATATAGATATAGATTTTTTGGCAAGCTCGTGGGCTGCTTTATCTTTAGCTTAAACTTGTGCTCCTGCTTCCTTCATCTTGTTAAATATATATTATATTATACACGTTCTTTCGTTGTTATGTGCTTGTTTTTCTTCGGTTCTTTGGGTTTAGATTACAAAACGCTTTAAAAATGGTTTTTTTGTTTAGTTGCTTGGTTTGTGGTCTGCTTATTGAATTCTTGTCGACTTTCTATGCAGATTATTGAAAAATCTGAACTGCAGTCGCAACTCAAGATCTTTTCTTACTGAAAACGAGAAACAGAAAAAGGGAGAGAGAACAGAACACATAAGCAAGAGGTGATAAAGACGAGTCACAAAAGGGGAGAAGTAATAATAATGATTCTTGACTGCCGACTGTCTCGAGGACTGAATTTCTGAATCGTCTTTGGCTGATATCTCTGAGTTCGTCTGTTTTTGGAACATAGACAGATACATAGATACAATACAGAGTGCTGCGATGAGAGTGTGTATGTGGGTGTGCGTGGGTGTGGGTTAATAGCACGCATCTGATTTGGATGAGAGAGGATTGTGATGGGATTATTTACACGGATCGCCTGCAAATGAATAAAGCGGCTGACAACGACGACATGGAAAACAGATATAAACAAGTGGGCTGTGCTGGAATCAGTTTCCGGTTTCTGCACAGTACAAAAGTATCACCAAAATTGACCATCGACGGGGTATTCTTCTAAAACAAAATAGCTCACATTGCGCTTTACGTATACATAAGCTTATAATTTCACATGTAAGCTAAAGCTATGGCTACAGTTCATATAGCTATTTTGTTTAGGAAATGATATCGATGGCTAAGCTTCTGGGCTTTTTATAGGGTGGTTTTCATTTTGGGGTATGTACAATTTCTTGGTCAGCAAGATCGATGGACTGCATCCAGAGTCCAGGGTGTTTGAGTGTACTTTTCGGGCAACGACAACGACAACATCGAGGATTACATAACCAATGAGGCAGAAAAGGGAAAGGCGCAAGTGGATCGAATGACTGTCTGTACATGGCTCGAACTTGTGGTAGCTGTGGATTCAGTGGATTTCTGTGGTTTTCAGTCGTGTTCTGTGGCATTCAGTGGCTCCGGCGGTGCGGCTGCAGTGGCTGCAGTGGCTGCTCGACTTCTCACTCACGTGTGCGCTTGATAGACACCCTCATCGTCGTAGTTCGGTGTCACGGACCGACTGCCCGGCACCACCATGTTGTCGGGATCGATCTCCGGATCGAAGGCATCGCCGCCACCCCGAATAACCATGTTATCCGGATCCTCTTCCACTTCATAATCCGCCGGAGGCTGTGGTGATGGCGACGGAGAAGGCGTGGCCGATCGGTTATAGGCGACCAGATTCCGCTCAATCTCCATGTTGCCCGGCAGGATCAACTTGGGTAGATTGGGCTTTATTTTCTGAACGCGGAAGACTGTCGAAGTGTCGATTTTGGGTGTTTCGAGTTTGAGAGGAACGTTGCAAATTTACAACAGACAAATGGATAATTGGTTAATGTTCTTCTTGGCGGAAGTCACTTTTACAATCTATGGTAATTACAAGAGTTTGCAGACGAGAGAGAAACAGGGGTTGGCACGGAATATTACATAGGTGGACCGATCTCAACCTTTCGAGATCCTGGCTCTATTCTATAGGGATAACACATGGGTTAGCGTCGGGTGGATATGGAAGAATGATATACGTACTGAACCCTCTTACAATACAAAATGCATGTATATTAAAATAATAGCACTAAGAAGTGAAGGTTTTAAAGTATAGTAATGCGACATCTTCAGTGCTGTTACTCTACCTAGCACAACCATCATAATCCGATTTTAAAATATCCTACGAGGTGCCCCTAACCCAGAACGATAACCACAGGTGAAACGAACGATAACTTGATAACGAAACGTGAACGATAACGATAACGCAACGAAGGCTGGTGATACGATGTAAGAATGTAAGACGATGGGGTTAAGACTGGAGAGCTGGAGTGACGATGAGGCTAATGGAGGCCAAGAACGGATTACCTGGTTACCAGACACAATAGATAAATAGATAAAAAGATAGACTGAAGTGGGGCTGGGAGGACGCAACAACAGAACGTGGAGCTTGGTTACCAAGTGGGGTCGCTCATCAAATCTTCTTCTCGGCTCCACTTCCGGATGTGGATGCAGATGCCTCCGCCTGTAGATTGCGCACTAGACGCCCTGGAGGTGGCAAGTTATGGGTTACACTATCTGAAGGATCGGTCCAGGTGCGCGCCTTGATGAACTGCTCGAAGGCAGCCAGGCTCTTCAACCTAGTGGGTGAAATATCCTTGGCCGCCTTTGAGTCTGAATGGTCATGATGGAGTGACGATTGATTGCTGGATGATGGCAAAGCGATGTTGGTGATTCCGCTGGCTAACATACCTTGTTGCAATTCACCTAAACGCGCGAGTGAGGCAACTCAGTCAATAAGAAATATACCTAATCCTATCGAAGGGAGCAGTAGTGGAACTATTCGCGAAACCAACGCTGATCGCCTGCAGATCGCCAGGGTGGTGAAAGTAACCGCCCGGGTCATCTGCCAATCCCAAGGGTCAACTTACTTCTGTCGATGTTGCGCTGCAGGTGAGCGGCCACTCGGTGGCGGGCGTCGTTGAACTCCAGGTGCAATCCAAGGCGCAGCAGCGACGAGTTCTTCTCCACCAGGTCGGTGATTTCCATCTCGATCTTGTTGCCCAGCACCGCGGACCGCTGGCGAAGATATAATTAAAAAGGTAAGATCATGTTGCAACTACTTATAATGCCAGTTACTATACTCGAATTGAAGGACCCACTCACCTGATTGGAGGCCCTGAACTCCTCGATGGTGTGGCACTTGAGCAGGGCTTGCACCAGCTTAACAATCACGGGCGGACTGATGAAGTTGGTCTCGACATTTAATACTCTCAGGGTTTTGCTCTTCTCTATGGCCGCGGCTAACAGGAGGGCTGTCTTGTCGGTGAGGCCCACATTTGTCAGCGAGAGGACTTCCAGATGTTCGTTCTGAGGCAGTGCGGCAAACAGTTGCTCGAGCTTCTCGTCCGAGATGTTCTACACGCAAGGAAATTAAGCTCATTAGGATACAGAATAATAATGTTTAACATTCAAGACAAAACCTTAATGTTGTTCAAGTTGAGGTCAATCAGCTTGGAGTCGTCGTCCTTGACCCGCTTGATGGACTCCTCCACATCTGTGCTATTGGGCGGATCCATAGGGAAGAGCTTCTGCTGAGTGGATTTCGTGATGCCATCCCAGCCCAGGCCTACGGGCTGACCCTTGTTGAGCAAGGAGGCGTGGTACTGGTCCTGATTCATCATCGAGTGGAAGCCGAGGATGGCGGCCAGGTCGATGATCTCCTCCTGCGTGGCATCGTTGAGGGCGTGCTCGTACTCCTCGCCCATGTCGATGGCGATCTGTTCTTCGGCCTCGATGTCGCGTGCATCCCTTGGCGGAGGGACCCACTTCTTTCCACGGACCTTGCCCTGAACGAACGGCTCAAATTCCGGCTGATCCGGTGTCTCGATGGCCTGCTTGTTGATGTGCTCGATCAGCTGCTTGCGATTGAGGGGCCCGGTGGCTTCCTTGGTGCACTCATAGCTGTTGCGCTGGTCTGGCGGCAGGAAGTTGTCCTGGAGAAACAAGAATGTTCAATATATCTGGATACAACGCCTCCAAAGGGTTACTCACATCGGGATCCACTTCTTTGGCCAGTATGGTTATCTCCTCGGGGGAGAGCTGGGCCAGCAGGCTCTCCACGTCCACATCGTCGTACTCACTCAGATCCTTGCCATACAGTTTGGCGGGGGTGGTGAGCGTGGTTGTCTTTGTGGTGGCAGAAGTCTGAAAAAGTTGAATTTAGAAATGTTTATATTTTTGAGCCAAATATATTTAGGAAGGATTTCTAGGAAGCTCCACAACTTAATATAAACGATGGAATGCGCATTTAAAATACCAGACCATAGAGTTTATTTTCTCCACCGAAAATCTCGGGAGCGGATCAGATAAGATTGCTTCCTAATCGCAGGGAAATCTTCCCACGTTTCTGCTCTTATTTTGCTTCGACCGAAAAGCATTGTTTTCACTTTTGCACAGTTCACTTTTCAGTTTCCCGCTTTTCCGATGAGAGCGAAAGTTCACTAATGCTTTGCAGGCTTCACGAGGTCTGCTTAAATGGGGTTTTGCTACACTTAAAGCTACTTTTCGCACATTTTTATGCTTCAGGCGGAGGCTCACTGGCGGCTGGGGGGCTCGGCGTTTGACCTTTGGCACCGGACGCAGCTTTATCTGCTGAAACTCGGCCACCGGCAGGGCGCTCTCCATTCTGGACTGTTATCTTTGCAGCTCGGAGGAGGTGTTCAATCGATACGGAATAGGAAACACGGAATATGAAGCGCGCAATATGGCAAATCCAATTATGAATGCACTGAGGCGACTTGCAGCTTTCGGCCGGAGACTTTGCGACTTGGGACTGGGTCTGCGTTCCACCACCGACTGACTGGCAAGAGAGACCCGCCGAAACACCAGACCACCGCACCACCAGACCACCGAATTAAGGCGAGACAACGGCAACCACATCGAAAGCCAAGCGAGAGTCGTGCAACATTTGCTTCGAGCCAACATAAAGACAGGCTGCAATCGCTCAGCCAGCCAGCCATTCATCCAGTCAGTCAGTCATTCAGTCATTCAGTCAGTTAGTCAGTGAGTCAGGCGCTCAGTTCAGTTCGGGCCAACTTAAGTCGAGTCACTCAGCCAGTTGGCCCAAAGAGTTGCCAATGTAAATTAGGCACACCGACAAAAACTGAGGCACTGAATTGCATTTCATCTCTGAGTCTAAATGATTTAACTTTGGAGCACCTTTTACTAATTTAATTTAATTATTTTACTTAATTTTTTTAAAGTTCTATGTAATCATATTGATTTGGGGTTCAGCAAATGCGTCCTAATTTAATCACCTCTAAAAAATGGTTCAATGCAGTAATATACTCATTTCTTTTCCAGTAGCACGTAGAATGTGTGATTTGTGTCTGATCGAGGGTCACGTTATTTGTTTCAGTGCAGGGGGCGGGGGAACGGGGGCAGTCAACTGTGGCAAGACTTCTCCGCGGTGGTGTCTGCACTTAAACGACTTCTCGGTGGGAAATTGTTGTGCAACTCCGCCAGATTTCAAATAAATAAGTCAACAAATTGTGGCCCATAAACAAGCCGAGCGGAAGTCGTCGAAAAGCCACGAAATCGACATTAGACATGGAGGGAAAACAGCCGAACCGAGTGATTTGCATACGACAATAGTAAGAGTACTGGTAACTTGGAGGGGGCGAAATGGATGTTCTGGCTAAGCGTGACCGAGAAGTGGGGGAATAGCGTAGTTAGTATTTAGTGCGAGCAAATCAAGAGCCAAGAAAACAAACCGATTGAAAACTGGTTTTCCCCGAGGGCAAAAGAGTGCCAAGGAACCGCGACGGACAATACAATGGCCATAAAACCGGGGCTTAAACTCCTCTTTGGCCGCCGTTTACTTAGCGCAGCGCTTTTAACTGCCAACCGGTTTTGACCACAATAGGTACAGCTAAGCTGCCACAGTGTACCGTCTCGACCAGCAAGTACTAGCAAAACAAACCCAAACAAACAAATGGCCAAGATGACGCTCCCAGATATTATTCGACCATCTGATGACTACGGCTAAATGCTAAATGCTAAATGCCAGCCACTGACCCACTTCCGAGTGGTGCTCCTCGTTGTGGTCTCTACAGCGGGGGCGATTATGTCAGCTTCTAACGCCTCAAGTTGCAGCCAATTGTTGACATTTCAATTGGGGACAGAGAACCAACTCCCCCAGTGACTCCACTCCTCTCCACTCGATGCCAATCCAATCGAGAAGTACGCCTCTGGAGGTGGACCAACTGTAAACTGTGGAATCATAAAAAGTAATTGCAAAAATAATTGAGTTCACGGCACTCCGGAGACACTCCGAAACGCTGGAGAGCCAAGCAAATAAATTCGGGCCAAAACAAGAAATTAAGCACATATCTTAGCTAGTCGAGTGGGGAGTACTCTTAGCTCAAGTACAAGTTATGATCCAGTCGAACAATCCTCATAGCTCTCGGTGAGTTTATGACTGGGTGCTTATAGTTTCGATATTTCAGGGTCACTGTTCACGGCAAACCTTCAAGTCGGTCCCAAATAATGTCTTTCTAAATGACGAAGTATAATAGAGGTAACACTAAATGTGGTGCAGAGCTGTTACCTGGTATAATGTTTCCCGTTAAAATAGAGTACCTCAAAAGATACCTGTTCTCGATACCAATATCCAGCCCACCATGCAAATCCGCACGGTAAACTAGACGGCAAGCCGAAATGTATCTGCCAGATACTCGTCGTCGACACATTAAGCATTAAAAACTGTTAACTTGCGTGCGTCTGTCACAGTTTTGAGTTCCGAGAGCCAATTAGAAGTTGCGATGCGCATAAACTGTGAGTCTCGAGTTCCCAGTTAAATGGAGTGGCAGGCTCATTAATTGCAACGGGCCTGTGGAACGTTAGTTCCAAATAAACCAACTCACTTGGAGAGCTCCTCTCCAGGTTCTCCGCCCACCGCCCACCGCCTCCAGCCCTCTGTCATCCCATTTTATGCAATTTCAAAGCTGGTACTTGTCGGAAGATACGGTTGAATGAAAGGCTTTATTTAATGGAATGCAGCTGCGCAGCTTTGAAAATGGTATTAGGGTTCTGTCAAAAGCAGCCTCTGATAGCCTTGAGCATTTGTTGCTCCAAAAGAATATTTTCTCATAACTTGTATATAGTAAATAAGCAAACCTTGATTGTTATGTAGTATGTTTAATTGCTGGTTACAAGTACCTCCTTCTAGCTCATGCCGAAATAGATACAAATGCTAGATTGCCAATAAAGTACAGCTAGAACCCGAAACCGAATCGAAACAGGAGTAAATCCGGCTTAAGGCCACAGCAAATCCTCCCGACCATGTGTGACCCACAAAACGAAGCCCGTGAGCAGCGGGGCGAAATGGGAAACATGTTTTTCGGTGATTTGCACAAATGTATCTTGTATCTGACGGATGGGCGGTCGTGGTCACCGAATGCGAAATCGGTCAAGGTGCTTAGGCGATTTAATTAAGCGGCAAACAACAGCGAAATACAGTTTTGCAGAAGCGACAAACGGCAGTGGTCACGTTTACATCGAAAATTACACATTGCCCGCGGAGCGGAAAACTGTGGAAATTCAAACAGAAGTGCACGAAAAGTTGGACGCGCACACGTCCCACGAAAGCAGGTACAAAAGTAACAAAAAGTAAAATGGACCGGCTAATGACCAACTCGAAATGGTGGAAATTCGCGTAGGAAGCGAGGAAACGGCCAGGGAAATTGCAGTTCGCAGTTCGGAGGAGGAGCCAGCAGCAGGAAATTTCGTGCAAGAAACGTTAATTACATTTGCGACCAGGCTCGCTTTTATGGCCATCCGAATCCGACAATTAGTCGCGTGGAAAACCAGAAACCGAAGGTGAAAAGATGCGTCCAAACGAAAATGAGCGTCGAGTGTCGAGTGAAAATGCGTATCTGCCACTTGCAGCAGGGGAAAACAGTAAAGTTTGTAGCATTTTTGTATCTCAAGGCATTTATTGCGCTACTTGCGTTTCGATCTCATTTTGCAGCTTATTGTGACTTTGACGAGGAACAGATTTCTTGTAAGTATTCCAAACTGAGGGACGCATTTTTCTACCTTTTTCCCCTGCGCCATCACAATGCATTTCCTTAGCCATCGATATATTGTCCGCTTTGTAAACCCCATAAATGTATTCCCAAACGTTTTTTCCTGCGGGGTGAAATGCTTTATTGCATTTTCCTGGTCCTCCCAAAAGTGCCAGCGCAAAGCTGAAATATGCCCGGCAACTTTGGCAGCCTGGTAAGATGGAAAAGAAGTTTTTGCGTCTAAGCCAATCCCCAGAGCCAGTCAATTGCATATTCAGTGAACACGAATATGCTTTTTATATGGCCATATTTTATGCAATTTGCATGCCAACAGCAGCTTCTCCTGCTTGTGAGGAGTAGGAGGGTTTGGCGCAGACCAGGAGGTCGACCTCCCTCCTGAAAGTTGAGACCCAGTTGGTCAGTGCGATAGGGAATCCGCTTCTGGTCGGGCTATAGCTACATCTACATACACATTCTGGTTCTGGCTGCAGTCGGGCGTTTCAACTGCTGAAAACTGAGACGTCGATAGTTCCGTCTCAATGCGCTTGAAACAAGTGAACTCAAGTTAGTTAAGTTAGTCGGGATCCGAATGGGGGGTACTCTAAAGGTGCCGTTCTGTAAAATAGGGTTCAACTTCTAGTGTCTCAATCTAAACATAGTACTTGGTATGGTAACTTTCTTTTCAGGAATTTCTTTGCGCAGCAGCATCGCCGAGCTACCCTCGTTCCCTCAAAGTGCAGGGTATAGACCTCGGTCTCTGCCGCATCGTTGCAACCAGAAATCTCCGATATCAAAGCGGTTAAGAGGGGCGTAGAGCAAGGAATCACCAGGGTGCTGGCAGAAACTGACAGTTGGCACGGCCATGGAAAACATGGAAACTCGGAAACTTGGCTGCAGTGCAGGCAACTTTCCCGATCTGAATCGAATTGAATCCGCACATAATGCACAGATGTCGCTAAAAGTTGCAGGGGGGAAAAGTGAAATTTGAGCAGCAGACGCATTTGGACAAAATGAGAAACGTGCGTCGCATTCTCAGTTGGAGACTGAGCCCAGTCATCAATAAGATGGCCGAGTAGCCAGTCAGTCAGCCAGCCAGCCAGCCAGCCAGCCAGCAGAAAATCATAATAAATTATGGTC